GGGGCCGCCCAGACGCCGCCCGGCTCGCCCGCTTCTCCTCCGCGGGACTCCGGCACCCGCCGCCGCCGCCTCGGCCTCGGCCTCGCCTCCTTCTTTCCTTCTTTCCTTCCTCCTCCTCCTCCGCCAACGACGGCGACGAGCCCGGCTCAGCCCTACCGCCACCACCGCCACCGCTTCCCGGCCCGCAGCCCCGGCCGGCGGGAAGAGATGCGATGACAACGTCCGCCCTGCAGGTACCGAAGGCAACGCCGGCCTCCGGGGCCGCCTCGCCGCCCGTCGCGCTACGCGAGTCCCCGGCTTGGCGGCCCTCCGAGGCCCGGCCTTGCTTGAGACGGAAGGGAAGGGAAGGGACCGGGACTTGGGGGGGGGTCCTCGGCCAGGCAGGACGGACGGAGCCGAGGGGGGGACGTCCCTTTTGCGACGGTAGCTCACTCCGTCGTGTGGATTCAATCTTACGACTGCTGGTCTTTAATTACCACCCCCTCCCGGGGTAAGGGGAGCAAGGCGAAAGGACGAGAGGATCAGCCGGGCCCCCCCTCGCTCCCCCTCTCCCCACCTCCTCAGGGTGGCCCTGGGGGGCAGCGAGGAGGCAACCCTTATCCCCCCCCCCACACACCATGCCTTGAACCGCCTCAAAGCTCACCCTAAAATAAACAGACTTACTCTTAGCGGGGGGGTGGGGGGTGGAAACCTCCCTCGCTTTTCTTTTGCTTTCTGCTCTTTTGTTTCTCATGAGGTCAAAACAAGCTTTCCTGGACTCAGTCCCCTTCTTCAGACGTTTTGTTTTGTGTTTTCAATCAATCAGTCAGTCAATTAGTCAATCAATCAGGCTGGGGAATGGATGAGCCCAGGAAGAAGGGTGTGTGTAGGGGAGACTGTGGTTACAGAATAACTCAGGGGGAAGAAGAGATCTTTATTTATCCGGATGGGTTACACAGAAACCAAACTTCACTTGTTTCCAAGAGTTTGCAACACAGGCTAAACTGGGTTGTTGCTGGATGGACTATCTTAGATTTGGTGTTTGTGTGTTTCTGTGTAACTCTTTTGTTACACTCCCAGACACAGTGGGAGAGAAAGAAAAGGTAAATATATGTCCACAGAACTTTATTTATTTTGCACATTGGCATCTTGTCCGTTCGCCAGTGACTTGAAGGTGGTACACGTCCTCCTTCCTGCTCTTATCCTCACAACGCCCCTTGGAGGTAGGCCGTGCTTAAAGAGCGATGGGCCTGCAGTGACCCGGTCATTTTCAGGGCTCACAAGGTGCAAGAACTGGAAACCCCAAGCATATTGACATTCTGCATGAATGAGGAGAAGAGCAGGAGATTCAATCATGGGCTTTCCCAGTCACCCTAAGCATTAAAAGCTGCTCTGTTGAGATTCTTCCAAAAAAGACTCAGTGGAAGCAGAGGGATGTCTTGAGCGGCTTGGCAAAATTGGGGGAGGCGTCCCGAGGTGTGACCTGTAGCTTCTCTGGGGGAAGTGAAACAGGGCAGGGAGAAGCTCCTTGCCCGCCTTGGATTCATGGATTCTGCCCCCCTTGGAGAGACCAGGCTTTCTCTTTCCACCCAAACCACCCCACGGAAACCTATGGAGTCCTGAGGGAGGAGCAGAGAGACACACAGCAGGGGCAGCCTGCGAACCAGTCCCATGCCCCCCCTCCACAAAGTGGCCAGGCACAGAGCTTTGGACCGGGAGAAATGAGACTCTGCCAGAGGGTCGCTGCTGTGGGCCGTCAGCTATGTGGGGGTGCAATGGAAGGGGCTTCCCTCCTGTTGTAGGACTTGGACTGCTTTGGGCCGACCGGACACTTACCCCAGGTTTCCTACCATGTCACTCTTGTCTTAGACGTCAGGGCCCTCTCCCTGTGTCTCAAACCTCTCACTAACTTGCTTTTTTTTGGGGGGGGGGTTTGTCCTGAAATATGAGGGGCCAGATGGGCAAGATCCTGTTTGCAGACTTGTTGGTGAGGACAGGAAGCTTGTCCAGGACAAAAATGTTGACCTGGGCATGGCAAAAGCAGTCCTTCACCGCATGTCTTCCAGCTTCGTTGTTCTGATGCACGTACAGTCCTACATGCATCCGTCTTTCTCGCGTGCCACAGTCATGGCACTGAAAATATCTGGCCCCCTTGGAATCTAGCAGGAAACTGGAAACCCTGCTGGTTCTTTCCAGGGGCGATCCCAGCCTCCCGGCTGGAAAACTGAGCTAGGCATTTTCTTTCCAGAAAGCCATTGATTTGGTCACGAAAGCCACCGAGGAGGATAAAGCCAAGAACTACGAGGAGGCCCTGCGGCTCTACCAACATGCAGTGGAATACTTTCTACATGCCATCAAATGTGAGTTTGATGGAGAGGGTGGGGGGGTAGTGGTGCTCTGCATCAGGTGGGCAGCGCCACAGAACCCATACTTTGGCTGTCCAACAGCAGGAGAAGGATTTTGTCTTTGATGCTTCCTTGGGAACTCCCTCGTTCACTGCTGCACACAGTAGGATGGTGGACGTGCTGTTTTTTTTCCTTGGTGCGGCCCACACAGTTTTCCTTGCATCCTTGAAAGGCTCTAGGGCTTTGCCCCCTTCTCTTGGACCGGCCATGGTGGCTGGATGCCGGCAGCCACCTCCAAGGGAAGCAGCCCAGGCAGGGGAGAGAAGGCAGAAGCCACGGCATTGAGAAAATGCTTCTGGCCTTTGGGGGTGGTGGTGGCCGATCTGGGTTTTCTTCCTGGTTTGGTTCAAGAGTGCTTCCTTCTCATGCCACTTCCCCGTTGTTCTTGCAGACGATGCTCACAGCGATAAAGCCAAGGAGAGCATCCGGGCCAAGTGCGCACAGTACCTCGATCGGGCCGAAAAGCTAAAGGACTATTTGCGGAACAAGGCAAAACAGAGCAAGAAGCCTGTCAAAGAAGCGCAGAATGACAGCAAGGGGTACGGATGGACCGGTCTCCCCAAAATCTCAAATGATTGTTTTGTAAAAAAATCTCAGGAGCCTTGTTTGGGGGACTTGGATCACATTTCTATTCTGCTTCTGGTCACCGAGACACGCATCTTCAGAGGACAGCAAACGGTGCTCTTCTCAGGAACCTTGTTTAGGGGACTTGGATCAGATTTCTATTCGGCTTCTGGTCACTGAGACAAGGTTCCTGAGATTTAAGAAAGGAGATGGAGGAGGTGATGAGCAGAGAGCCTTTTGGAGTCTGTCCCTGCCTGCAGTACTGTAGCTAGAGCTATAGAAACAGGAACTTAGCTCTCACAACCCCTGAATTGCTGAACCCGGAGGTTAGGGGAAGTTCTGTACAGCTTATTCTCCTCCCACTCAAACGTGGGGAACATAAGAGTGAGCAGGAGCAGACGTAGAGAGGCCCACTGGCCTTTTCCTCCTGCTGGTGGGGTTATCTGGTCCCTGGTTCCTTTGGTTCTGCCTTCCCCAAGCCTCTGATGGGATTCCTCCCTCTGCAGGAGCGACAGTGACAGCGAGGGGGACAATCCAGAGAAGAAGAAACTGCAAGAGCAGCTGATGGGTAAGGCCCTCCCTGCTCTCTTTCTCCTGCTTTCTCTCCCTCCCCGGCAGGAGAGGGTGGTTGGGTGGGAGCTCTGTGGCCTCCCGTGGGCTTCTCTCAGGCGAACGGCTTTCCCTGCTGCAGGCGCCATTGTGATGGAGAAGCCCAACGTCCGGTGGAGTGACGTGGCTGGGCTGGAGGGAGCCAAAGAGGCCCTCAAGGAAGCCGTCATCCTGCCCATCAAATTCCCCCACTTATTCACAGGTAAGGAAGGCTGCAGGTACCTTCGGGGTGGCCGTGATGGGGAGAGGGTTGCCGGCGGTTCCTGCAGGCCCCCCCGCTTTGTACACAGGAGGTCCCTGGTGGGATCTCTGGCGGCAGCGTCTCCAGAGAGGCCTGGGAAACCCCCTGCCCAAAGCCTTGGAGAACAGCTGGCCAGAGGTGCCGCTTCCTGTAGACCTAAATGCCTTTGGGGCCAGAGCTGGAGGGAGCTATTTCCGGTTTCTTTGTGCCAGGCAAGCGGACCCCCTGGCGAGGGATCCTCCTCTTCGGTCCTCCAGGCACCGGGAAATCCTACCTGGCCAAAGCCGTGGCCACCGAGGCCAGCAACTCCACCTTCTTCTCCATCTCTTCTTCTGACTTGATGTCCAAGTGGCTGGGGGAGAGCGAAAAGTGAGTGACGGAGAGGGAACCAGCCCACCCCCACCCCCACCACTCCCATATCTCTGTGAGAAGAAGCTTAGTCCGTGGGGTGGGGTGGATTAGATCCCCACAGCAAGAATCAGCAAGTTGGAGGCTGTCCACTTCCACACCTTTTCTGTCCCTGTTTGTCCACCGATCTGTTTCCTATGCATCCCCTCCGGCTCTCCTTGCCCCTGAGATGCCAGCTGTGCTTTGCTCCCCTCTCTCTTAGGCTGGTGAAGAACCTTTTTGAGCTGGCCAGGCAGCACAAGCCTTCGATCATCTTCATCGATGAGGTGGACTCCCTGTGCGGCTCCCGCAACGAGAACGAGAGCGAGGCAGCCCGCAGGATCAAGACGGAGTTCCTGGTGCAGATGCAGGGTGAGTGGGTGGGGGGGCCGCAGAGGCCTTGCTGGCCCTCCGTCCTGTCGCCGGTGGGTCGCGGAGGGCTGAGTCGGAGGATGCCCAGCCTGGCCCGAGCCACTCACATGATGTGGGCGCAGGACAGCTTGGAACCAGGGAGGAGAGGTGGGCTCCCTGTCCAGGGCGGCTGCAGCAAGGTCATCAGCGGCGGCTCTCTTTCCTTACAGGCGTCGGGAATAACAATGATGGGATTCTGGTCTTGGGTGCTACAAACATCCCCTGGGTCCTGGATGCGGCCATTCGGCGAAGGTGAGCGGACCAAGCAGGCTTGGACGGTTTCCACGGCTGTTTGCCAGGCTCTCTAGCCCTGGTTCTTAGTTTGGCTGGCAGACTTCGTAGGCTGTGCTTCAGCCTGCTTCGACACATTGCTATTTTATTTCTTTCGTTTTATTCAAAATATTTCTTAAACCCGCCTTTCTCCTTAAAAAGGACACCAGGCGGCTTATTTCATTAAAGGACAATGCTGTAAAGCTAAAAAGAGTAAGTGTACAACTATTTAAAAAGAATCAAGCGGATCCCATGCTTTAAAAAAAATGGTATTTCTACCCTTGGTGCCAACCATGGTCCTCTTTGTGGCTTATACTGTTAGCATGACACATAAAATATGAAGACAGCAAAACAAAGCACATTCCCTGATGGAAACAAAGCTCTTTTTCAGGGCATGTCAGACGTGCGTTTTTTTTCCAAAGCACGGTGTAGATCCTTGCACTGCTTCTCTTTTGTCCTCTTCTTTTGCATTTATTTGGTGGGACCCTGTTTCCCTGTGATCGTTTTTATCGGTGCTAGATTTTATAACTTTATTGCATTGAGATATGTGATACTTTCACTCTTTATTTTATGAACCACCCAGAGGGCTTCAGTGGCGTAGAAAACCACCCGATACGCACACAGCTTTAGTTTATGAACCACCCAGAGGGCTTCAGTGGCATAGAAAACCGGATACGCACACAGCTTTAAAACATCACACGATAGATCTCTGGGTGTCATTTTATGCTTGTGGAAATGTTCCTGGCTTTCCTGCGAAAGCCACATCCCATCGGAAAGGGGCAAAGAGGGAGGGTCGTCCCATTTTGCTCCCCATCTTTCCCTCAAGAACGGTGTCCGGCCGCAGGGAGGTGGCAGAGGGAGCAGCCGCTTGCTTGGCCCCTGCGGGCGCTTGGCAGCCCTTCACCTTTGGCCCCTTCCTGCCTTTGCCCACAGATTTGAGAAGCGCATTTACATCCCCCTCCCCGAGGAGCCCGCCCGAGCCCAGATGTTCAAGCTGCACCTGGGCAACACCCCGCACAGCTTGACGGAAGCCAACATCCACGAGCTGGCCCGGAAGACGGACGGCTACTCAGGGGCCGACATCAGCATCATTGTGCGGGATGCGCTCATGCAGCCGGTCCGCAAGGTGCAATCCGCCACCCACTTCAAGAAGGTGAGGGCAGCCCCTCTTTCGAGGTGGGGGGGGGCGGCAAGGAACAGGTTTCCTTTGACCAGTCTGTGCTGTCATCCGGTGTAGGAGGGAGGCACGTATTCAGAAGCAGGTGTTCTCTCGGTGTTTAGTCGCTCCACCTGCCTCTTGTGACTGGGAGGGGTGTCTTTTCCCCACCTCTCACTTGCTCTCTCCTTGCTGTTGTGCCAACCCCCTTCCTCAAAAGAATCCCATCCCGCCATTAGCACCCTGTCTGTGCTCTTACTGCAGGTCCGGGGACCATCCCGCACCAACCCCGGAATGACGGTCGATGACCTGTTGACCCCATGTTCACCGGGGGATCCTGGCGCCATTGAAATGACCTGGATGGAGGTGCCGGGAGACAAGCTGCTGGAGCCAGTGGTGTGCATGGTGAGTGGGAGTCCCTAGCTGACCTTTGACATCTCCCCCCCCCCCAGCTTCCTGGCTCCATCCCTCTCTCCAAATCCCAGGCCTGAAATCCGAAGCTCAAAGGCACAGCTCTCAGCCTCTCCCAGGTTGGGTGGCTGGCCTGGGCCCTGGGGAAGGAGGCAGGCAGACAGGCCAGGGGAGAAGCCGCTGGTTGGCTCTCGGTCCACCACCAGCGGCCTGGGGTGTTGAAAGGACCTCTCCCCACTGACGCTGGACGACCTCTTTCCCTCTTGGCAGTCGGACATGCTGCGCTCCCTGGCCACAACCCGACCCACCGTTAACGCAGAGGATCTCCTGAAGGTGAAGAAGTTCACAGAAGACTTTGGCCAGGAAGGTTAACGCTTTGCCGGCGGGGAGCAGGGGTGCTGGAGGGCCAGCCGGAGGGCCTTCTGCCGCACGCAGGGGGCCCGAGACGCTGACCGCGGACTGTGCCAAGCCGGACCTTGCACCCAGCCTCCTCCTCCGCCTGCCTCCACTTGGCCCCCCCGACCCCTTTGGGGAGGGAAAGAGGAGCAGAGGGGCCACAGAGCCGGTGTGCCTACTCAGAGGGACAGAGGCTGAAGAGGCAAGAGCCAGCCCCCCCACCTGCTCTCGGTGTCTCCCATCCGGGTCTCCTCCTTGCCCTCCTGGCTGCTCGCTTTCTCTTTCTCTCTCTCTTTTTCTTTCTTTCTCCCTCTTCCTTTCTGCAGCTTGGGTTTGTGTTTGTACAAATAAAAACACTAAAACTGTTCCCCATCCTTTTCCTAACACCCCCCCCGGGGGGGGCAATTTGTGTGGGAAAACCCTGCCTTGCTCGGCTTCTCTGTGGCTCTGGAGACAAGACAGAGCGGAGCCTTCTGAAGCGTCGCAACATCGGCAGCGTGAACTTTGAAGGGAAGCACCTCTCCCTGTCACGCTCCAGCCAGTGTGACCAAAGCTCTTTCTGCTGCACCGCACCCTCCGGCCTCCTGGCAGAGCCTCCGGGAGGGTCCGCTCTTGTTTCTACCGTGGCCGGAGCGCCCGGGCAGCTGGTTCTGAGCCTGTTCTGCCTGGCCTCGCAGGTGCTGGGGCCTGAAACCACACACAACCTTGCGGGGGGGGGGGGCTGCTGAAGATTCCAGCCCCGTCGTGTTGCGCAGAACGATCCCCAAAAGACGTCCGTTTGGAGTCTCCACCTACCCCTCCGGGCTTTGTGGTGCAAGGGACTGGACTCGGCGAATACCTCCTCCTGGCGCAACACTCATCTGGACCATGGCAAGGCCCTGAGGAAGGGGGTGCAGAGGCACCCCCACCTGCCTGCCCACCTCCCTGTTGCAGTTTGTGGGATCCTCTGTACTCTTTCCCCCCCCCACGCCTAGAAGCTCCCCCTTCTTGGTGACCTTTTGGAATTCCCCCTCCCTCAAGAAGGTCCCGCAGCCTGGTTTGTCTTGTCTTAACCTGAGCCAAGGGAGGGAGGAGGCGCCCTTTGAAGCCCACCAGCACCCCTCAAGAGGGCCCGGCGCCCCTCTGGCAACCTCTTAGTTCTTGTCAGCAGGTTTGTTTCCTGGGAGGGGAAGTGTGTGCTCGTAAAGCTGCAAGCCCTCTGCCCGTGGTTCTCTGCCCTCCCCTCTCCCTACAGCCTCCCTGCCCTGCGCTTTAGTCCTGCTGAGAAAGGCCTGCCGGGCGGGCGGGTGGTCGGTGGCTTGTTCAGGTGGTTTGAAACCCTTGTCATCAGCACCGAGAGCCTGTAGCTGGCATGGGGAGTGGGGGGGGGCAGGCAAAAGTACCAGCCAGCCTACCCCCCCTCCTCCCTTTCTTTTTCATGTGTAGATAATTTTGATTTGATGACTGTGTTTGGAGGGACAGTTCATGGAAGAATAAAAGTGTTGAAAATGAGCAACTTCAAACCACTTGCCTTTTTTATATATATACTTCCAACCTGAGTAGCAGCATTGTGTGATTTATTTCAGCCAGGGAAACGGCTGTTAGCCAGAGTGTACGTGGGGTATTTTGGGTGGGTGGGTGGCCAGGATGGTAGCTGTAGCAGCAAAGCAGGGTCTCCTTTGGAGGGGAGGGAGGAGAGCGAGACCCTTCTTGTGTGTTTGGCTCTAACTGCCCAGAAGACCAGGCTCTCTCATGGTTTCCCCTCCACAAGAGAAGGAACACCGTCCTGCGGGGAGAGTTGAAGGACAGGGACCAAAAGAGGCAGAGGGAGGCATTCGTTCAACCCTGGGCCCCGCTGGGAGCTCACTGAGCACCAGACCTGGGGCTGTAGCTGAGGGCAAGCCATGGGCCACTTCCAGCCGTCGACACAAGCCAAGCATGGGGGCAAATGATTACAAGCTATGGGAAGTAAGGAAGCTGCCAAGTTTTATTCAGGATCTTGAAAACGTCCAATCGCTGTCCCAAGGAGCCTTGGAAAGGGCAGCTTCTCCACACGGCTGTTGGGCTGTTTTACTCCTCCAGGCAGCGGCGGATCCTGCCCTGTTCTGCAGGTTCCTTACTTTTCCTCCCAAAAAGTTGTGGCAGGACGGAGGGGAGACAGATAACGAGGCGGCTTCCAAGTCCACCGGCGATCGGGGTGGGTGGCCGCCTGTCAGTTGCAGGACCAGCCCCATTGATCCTGCGCTTTCAGAGGCCTACACTGGAGAAGAGGACCACTACACCGCCCCCCGTAGTCTGAGAGTGCTGGGATGCAAAGCTGAGCAGCCACTGTGTTGTGGTGCCACCCCGTCCTGTCCCTTTGGAGCAGCCCTTTCACAGGTGTAAACAGACTTCCAAGCCACAGGAAGTGAACAACGTGCCGCTCACTCACTCCCACAAACGATTTAATCATTCACAGTGGCCCACTGAACATTCACAAAAGTGTTGCTGTCCATCTTGTCGATGTACAGAACTCCTCGCAGATGGTCCATCTCGTGCTGGATGATGCGGGCCGCCCAGCCGTCCGCCTGCCAGGAGGTCTGTTCCCCTGCTTCGTTCAAGCCTGTCGTGGAAGAAGAAGAGACACTCGAGTGAGGAATGCAACTCTCGTCCTGGCTTCTTGCTCACCTTAAGGCAAGGGTGGAGGTGCCTCTGACAGGAGACCGTTCTCTGCTTCCCTGCCCCTTCGTCCACGCAGGATGAGAGGCTCCCCCCGCTGCGGCCAGCCCCCTTGATCTAACGGCACAAACGTTCTGATCAAAAATGCCTGACCCTGCTTTCTGCTGATAACCAGATGCAACTGGTTGTACCCCTTCCGGTCCACCAAAACTGATAGGAGTGTAATTTTATTTAAAAATAACTAAATAAAAGTTGTATCAGGTAAATGAGATAAACAGGAGAACCCCTTTTTCAACCACTCACTTCTCCAAGCCCAGCACAAGGCATTTCCTCTTGCTACCCCCCTACCTGTGGATAAACCAAAAGAAAATCACCCCAGGACTCTTGTTCCAAACATCCTCCTCTAAGGTTCCCCCAGCCCCAGATTTAAGGCAGGAAGAAGCAGGGAGGGTTGGCATGCTTAATATGATTTACTGTATATAGTGTCAACAAAAGCTTAGTAGTGGGGGGAACAAGGTGGCAGGCACACTGCAGGAAAGTAGCGGCCCTCTCCACCCCAAGACTTTTGGGTTGCTCCTCCACATCCATATGCATGGTTGAGGGAGTAACTGAATAAAACATAGATTCCCTCTTTCTCCCACTCTGGGGACCCAGGGCAGCTGGCATGCCCCCAAGACCCCTTTCTCCTCTCTCTCTGGCATTTTTCAAGAGGCACTGCTGATCAGCCACCAAGGACTGCCTGTAGCTCTACGCCACACACCAGGCTTGAAAACTGTCCCTCAGCCTGTGTGCCGGATGCTCTGCTACCAGTGACACGAGACGAGAGCGCTACCCACCTGAAACCTGCACAGCCAGGTACCTAGGGACGCAAGCACTGAATGGACCGACACTCTGACAGCCCTCGGGAAAAGTGGCGAGCTGGTTGTTGAGCACCTTCATGGTCGGATTCACGAAGACCCGCAAGGGGAAAGGCGCGATCTGCTGGATCGTGCACAAACTGGAAGGGTACTCGTAGCACCGTTTCTCAGGATATTCGGCCACAAAGATCTGGAGGGGGACACCCAGCTGGGGAGCGCTGAGGGCGACACAGTTTTCTCTCCTCATCACCCGCACCAGCTTCTTGATGACAGCCTGCACTTCCGGGCTGGCAATCTGCACAGGCTCCACGGGAGCAGCCTGAGCGCGCAGAATGGGGTCCCCCACTAGGCACACATGATTGTAGGGCGGGGTGGGTGGCTTCAGAATTTTCCGCCGCAGGTACTGCCAGTAGGAACGTTTTTTTACCACGCTGGAAGAGACGGCGCGGACGCTGGGCTTGCAGGCAGGGTGGCTCCAGCGGACGCCCATCAGCACCCAGGCCAAGGAAGGCCTCCATCGGCAAGCCATGATGGTCCTTCCGGCAGGGCCAAAGATCGCCACCTGTCCATCAAAAGGGAGATCAGGAAGATAATTCACATGGGTGGTCAGAACCGGTATGCCTTGGGAGGCAGGAGTGGGATTCCCAGAGAATCATGACCTTGAGGCACCCCCTTCCCTCTGTCACCTTGCTTGGCAAGGATAAAGCGAAGAGGAAGACAGAGCCAAGGACATTGCCATGAGCCTCCTGAAGGAAAATCGGGATATAAAGGTGACACATCTGGAACTAACACCATTGCTCCTGGGGTCCAGATCTTGGCAGCTGGAGAGGGGACTGGGGAGAAAAAGCCTGACTCTCTGCAGCTGAGTGTCAAAGGACTTAAGCCTGAAGAGGTCGATGCTTTGGGAGGGTCCTCTGCGGCGGCCGGGGGAACATCTGCCTCGTTCCCCAATCTCAGCACCTCCGGGCAGACACTTCCACGTCTCTCTTTTCTTAAGCCACTTCTTATTGTTTACACCCCAGCTTTCTGTCAGAGAGTCCAAGACGGCAGGCATCCGGGGTTCCTTCTCCTCTACCCTCCTCTGATCCTCCCAACAGCCCTGTGAGGTAGGCCAGATTCTCTCTCTCTCTCTCTCTCTCTCTGTGATCGATGAAATGGCAGGTTAGAGGAGAAGGAACTCTGATCCTCCCAACAGCCCTGTGAGGTAGACCAGATTCTCTCTCTCTCTCTCTTTGTGATCGATGAAATGGCAGGTTGGAATCCTGGACGCCTCCTTGAAGCAGAATGACAGAGAAAGGGAGGGAGAAAGAGGGCGAGCCCCCAAGGAGCTGCTGCAGGCCTGAGCTGTCCCAGGCAGCTGAATTTTTTTCCCCCTACGACTTGAAAAAGTTACTTTTCTAAACTACGGATCCCAGAATCCTCCCCAGCCGCCTGAAGGTCCTCCTCTGAGGTCCACGGGCCACGCTGGCTGGGAGATTCTGGGACTTGTAGCCCAGAAAGGTAACTTTTCATTGATCCTTCCCTCCCTCCCTGCCCCGCACGGACCTTTGCTTCCCTTCGTTCCGGCGCAGAAGAGCCTCGAGCACCGGCGCCCCACCTGCCCGGGACACTTCCGGTTCTCCAAGGGCCGCCTCCGCCCCGGTCCTTGGAGAGCCGGAAGTGATACAGGATCCTGGGAAACCGAGTTCGCCGCTCAGCGGTAGGAGACAGCGCGCCGGCTCCCCCTGGCGACAGGATGCCGTCCTACAACCTCTCTCTTTCCCCGCAGCGGGACTGTATGCAGGAACAAAGAGACCAGGGAAATTCGGGCGGCATCTTAAACACGGGGATCTATTCGACACGCGCTTCTGGAGCGGTGGGGGTGCCGCAGTTCTCGGGTCTGTGCCAAAGAGGGGCGGCCAGTCTTTCAAGGACTCTTTTTGACTGAACAGCCCACGTTAGCCTTTCCCCAGTACAGTATTAAGAGGAAGGATGATGAACAGGTTAATTTCAGCCTGAGTTTCGGAGCATTACAGCTTTCGAGGGACTCCCCGACCAACCCTCACCCCAAATCCAGCTGCCTCAGACTCCAAGGGAAACCTAAAAGCTCAGTTTCTGCAGCAGGCTCTAAATTATGATGATGACGACGATTTATTCATTTATATTCTATTTCACCTTGAAGCTCTCCCGGCAGTTTATGTTAGAGGGGTTTCCACCTCGTACTGCCAACCCCTCTTTTTTAGTCTGTGCACGTTCTGGAGAGCTGCGAAATGTCAAGCAGTTATTTTGCCAAACTGTTAAGGTGCTCCACTTTTATAACCAATCCATTTTACACTGTGATGCCTGCCCGTCTGTTCTGCTTTTTCACTTCTCACATGCACAGGGAGGGATAAACCAGAAGGCAGAGTCTCGCACACAAGTCTCGGTGGACCAGGTTTCTACAGGTTCCAAACTAAAGGCCGTAGATTTCTTTACTGATTCAATCCATCTCACATTGGGTCCTCCTCTTTTTCTACTGCTTTCCGTTCTTTTCAATGCATTATTGGTTAAAGCAAAGCAGAAACCCATATCTGTCGTGGAGAACACTTTTGCCCCCAACAGAATCATTTCACATGGCACACCGAGAACAAGGAGGAGGTGGCACAGCAATACGGCTGGGAAAGACAAGGCAGACACTGCGCCTAAAGCAGAGGTGGATCATTTCAGAAGGAGGGGGATGTTTTCCATCTTCCCAAACCTGCCCTGGAAGTACCAGCCCTTCTAGTGAAACCAGGAGTGCTAGGGAGCGTTCTGGGTGCTTCTTCCTTTTTCTTAATACAGGTGTGTACATTAAAAGAAGGTGCACATGGCGGACAGGTATCTTGTTCTGGAGAATGATCACATCTGCATACATACATAAACACACACAGGACAAGCCTCTGGAAGTATTTCTCTCTTTTAAAAAAGAAAAAAAAAAGAACAGAGGAAGAGGGTCACAAAAGGTCTCCAAGTGGCTGCACAAACTGCCAATGGAAACTTGTCAGGGACTCACAGGATTCCCATCCTTGGCCTAAAACTACAAGCATCAGAAGGGGAAAGTGTGTGTTTCCTGCTCCACACTCAGTACTACAGAAGGTACCTCAAAGAACTGGGGGAAAAACCCAACCAAGTTTATTCAGACCTCCATCCACCTTTGCCAAGCACTGCAACTGCACTCCTGCCATCCGGAGCGGACCGCCTTTCTTTCTGCCAAAGCTGTCCATGCCAACCCTGTCATCTACATGCATGTCTAAAAGGGGCCGAACTGGAAGCCAAGTGCCAGGCCGGCCTAGGGACAGAAGAACACCAAGGAGTTCTTGCAGCCAGGCCTGCTGAGCGCCAGACACCACAGGGAGCAGGCCCGACTCGGAGAGAACTTTCCTGCACTCAGAAGACCTCTCAGCTAGGATTCCTCCCCAGAAGCTGTGCCGCCATCGCTTCCTTCTGCAGCCGTGACGCTGGGCTCAGCTTCCTGCTCCGAGGCGGGCGGCTCCGAGGCGGGCGGCTCCGAGTCCAACAGGAATGGTGGGGTTTCCGGGAGCAGTTCTTTTTCCTCGGGCAGCGGAGGAACAGTCTCTTTCTCCGGCAGGACCAAGGCGAGTTGCTCCTGGATGGCATGCTCATCCACGCAGCAGAGGTTCCCGTATTTGTGGAGCTGAGGAGGAGGAACACCTGAGCAGGGCCGGGTGGGGAGGGGAGGGGGGAAGAAGGGGGAAACAAAACACATATTCAGCCCTCAAGCATCCAAGCCAATGTCTTAAATCCCTTCCTCTCCCGTGCTGGCCTTATCCCTGTTCCCTGCAAGGGAAGGGGCTAGCAGAGGACACACACTTTAAGGGCTCCCAAGCCCAAGGGGGTCTTCTGCAGAGTTGCCACAGGCCCAGGGGGAAGGACAGCCTCCCCACTGCAAGGAAGCCAAGGCAGCCATACCCAGAGCCTGTGCAACTTGGGCTGAGGGGAAGAGGAGCTGGAGGCAGCGGTTGAGGTAGGGCACCAGATCTTCCAGAAAGGCCGTGCAGAACTGGACAAAGAGCCCCTGCTCACGGCTGCTGAACGCCATCACCTCCGCCTGGTGGAAAGCCAGGATGACCTTTGCCACCTGCAAAGAAGGGGGGGGGCAGAGAGAGAGAGACTTGAATCCCTTTGTCCAAATCCACCTCCTGTAATGAAAGCAAAAAAGCAACATGTGCTGCTTATAAACTGCCCCATTGAGCTTAAAGCATTCTCTTGGAGATTTACAAATTAATTATGCAGGCTATGCATTGCCCCCCCCCAGCAAGCTGGGTACTCCATTTACCAACCTCGGAAGGATAAAAGGCTGAGTGAACCTCAAGGCGGCTACCTGAGATTGAGCTCCAGGTCATGAGCACAGTTTTGACTGCAGTACTGCAGTTTAACCACAGCACTATGAGGCTCTTCCTGGAGGCCAGGAGCATCAGTTCCACTGAGGCCCCAACCTGATCAAGGCCGGAGAATTCACCCATTCACTCAAAGCCCAGCTGGCCAACCTGGAACACTCACAGAGAACAGTGGCCCAGGAGGCGCTCTAGGCAGCCCCAAAGACCAGGACTGGCAGGGCAGGGAAAAGGGACAGAGAAGGCAGCATGAGAACAATCATGTCATGCAGCCATCCAGAGCTCTTTTGGCATTGACAGCATCTGTTCCAGGAACTGGCCCTCTGGAATAATTTTCTCCAGTCCAGCCTCTAGGGTAAAGAGCCCTACCTGCCTGAGGGCCTCCTCCAGGGTCGCTGTCACATCGGGTGCCAAGGCCACAGGGCAGCAGAGACGCAGGTCATTGAAGGCTGCCAGGATGTTGTTGAGGAAGCAGGCAAGGGGCGGGAAGTCGAGGAGCACCATGGGGGGCTGCAGGGTGCCAGGCTGCGCTGAGGACATGGCCGCCGGGACGCTGCCGCCCAGGAGCGCCGGTGCAGAAATAAGGGTGTAGGAGTTCATCTCCTCCTGGAACTTGTTCACAGCTTCTTGCGTCGCCTTCTGGAAAGTGAGCAGGGCCACCCGCTGGAAGATGGGCACCAGCTGCCCTCGGAAGTCTGCTCCTACTCGGCTGAAGGAGAGGCCAAAGTACATGCACTGGCCCAGCAGAGAGTCCAGGCGGCCGCCCACGCCACGCTGCAAGTCCTGCTCCAGCACCAGGAGGAACTGGGAGACTTTCTGCAGGACCCACCCATGGAAGATGGCACTTTCGTTGAGGGCCTCCTGCCCAGGGGGTGGCACCAGGGGCTCCTCGTCTGCAAAGATGGCGCGGTACTGCGTGATGATGTCAAAGAGGTGAACGCGACAGGCCTCGATGGTCTTGGTGATGTGGACGTAAGGGTCGCCATCAGGAATGGCGGCCAGAATGGAACGCAGCCAGGTATCCCGTGCCTGCAGAAAGGTGACACGCAACTCTGCCTCCGTAAAGACATCCATGCAGCGCAAGTAGCCAATGACACGCAAGCAGGCGGGCAGCTGGATGTTGGTGCGCAGCTGTTGGATCAGCTGGGTCAGCATGAGCTGTGTGGACTGCCTCACCTCTGCCACTATGCCCTAGGAAAGAGAAAAGACGTCAGCGTTGCTCCCTGCCGGAAGGTCTGTGGTAGCTGTGGACAGCCAGTCGTCGCAACTCTCCGCATATTTTCAAGAGAACAATGTCCATACTGGAAGGAAGCATGAGAGACTGCACAGACGCTCTCCCTCCCTGCTGGCCTCTGGGCAAACCACTGGACAATGAGAGACCTCCCACCCCACCTGCAGCTATAGCTGCTAGCAGCTGTGGCTGGGCTCCCCCAGATGTGCCAGACGGCTCCACGGTTGAGGTGAAGTCTCTGGCTGGCTGCAGAGCCAGAGGGTGGGAGTTCGATTCCCCACCGGGCCTCCTTGACAAGGGGCTGGACCTTAGGACCCAGAGGGTTTCCCTCCAGCTGTGCAATTCTAAAAGGAAGGTGTGGATTAGAAGAAGCAAGCAGGAGATGTGGGGGCACACCTGGATGACAGGGATGGTGGCGTGCTTCTTCTCCAGGCGGCGGACATAAGCCACCAGCTCCAGGGCCTCCTCGTAGTAGCTGTTGCGGACGCAGGTGTCCATGAGCTGAGGGATCTCCAGGATTTCCAGGATCTCCGTGTGACGGTTCAGGGTCAGGTTGTTCATGCGGTGGCTCTGGGCAATCTGCTCGGCCTTGTGCGTGAAGTTCCTGGAAGGAAAGAGAGAAGGGAAGGAGATGAAGGTAAGGACAGTCAGCTTGGGGGGGGGCAGGAGAAAGAGGGACAGGGAAAGGCCTTTATCTTGTGGCAGGGAGTTCCAAAGGCTTAACGGATCTCCGTGTGACGGTTCAGGGTCAGGTTGTTCATGCGGTGGCTCTGGGCAATCTGCTCGGCCTTGTGCGTGAAGTTCCTGGAAGGAAAGAGAGAAGGGAAGGAGATGAAGGTAAGGACAGTCAGCTTGGGGGGGGGCAGGAGAAAGAGGGACAGGGAAAGGCCTTTATCTTGTGGCAGGGAGTTCCAAAGGCTTAACGGCTCCGGATCTTCCCTCCCTCCGGCCCCCCCGCTCCCGCCATGGA